ATTGAATAGGAGTTCATAAGACAAGGAAGACGAGAAGACTCGTTTAAAGCAGAGGCGCATAGACAAGAAAGTGGGCACCGCTGAATAGTCAAATGTGGCTAGAACTATAGTTCTTAACCTTTTTGACACGCCATTTCCTTTTAAAACATTATTTAAAAGATATGGATGAGCCTCCCAGGAAAATGTATATACATGTCTAAACACTTTGCTATAACCTTTTAAAGAAAAATTGTGAAACACGTTGAAATGGCCCAAAAAAAAAGGTGTCTAGCTTACTTTTCCAGCTTACCTCTTCTCTTCATTGTCATTGAGCTATGTTACAATTATGTAAGTTATAGAAAACAGTCATAATTGAAATGTCTTACAGTTATTGCCCTGGTTAGTGTTGCATCTGTTAACAAGGTCATTTCAGCGTTTCTGCTTGCTTGTATTTGTGCATGTCTAGTTTTTTAGTTCACCTTTAAACTGGTTTTTAGCACTTAACTCGTTCCCTGGTTAATTACTTAAATAAAATGATTGACGTGTTCATTTTGTAAATGTAGCAAAGTCATGGTTTCACCTTTTCTTTAAAATTTACCTTTGAAAATTTCATGGGATTCACAATAATTTTTGAAATCCATCCCAAATTCCATGGATTTCAAGTTAAGAATTTCTGAGCCAGGATGTAGAGAATGAACTTGTGGACACAGTGCGGGGGGCGGTGGGGGGGGGTGGGCAGGGAGGTAGAGAGTGCAATGAATGGAGAAAGTAGCATCAACATATACACACTGCTGTGTGTAGAATGGATAGCTGTTGAGAAGTTGCTGTGTAACATACTGAGCCTAGTCTGGTGCTCTGTGATGACCTAGAGGAGTGGGATGGAGAAAGGGGAGTGAGGGGTTATATGTATATTTATGACTGATGGTGGTGCTACTGTTAAAAAAATTTTGCCTCCCATTGCAGGAGATGTAATATGCAATGTTAGATCCCTGAGTCAGGAAGATCCCCTGGAGGAGGGCATGGCAGCCCACTCCAGTATTCTTGCCTGGAGAATTCCTTGGACAGAGGAGCCTGGATGGCTGCGGTCCATGGGATCACAAAGACTCAGACACTGATGAAGCGACTTAGCACGAACACACAGATGGCTGATTCGCATTGTTGTATGGCAGAAACCAACACAACATTGTAAAAACGATTTTTAACAATTTAAAAAAAGGATTTCTGAGTCAAAACATAGACTACATGGTAAGAGGTTCTACTAAAACGTAGGCAGTGTGAGAGTTAAACATACCTGAGCTTACTTACCTAGCTAGCTTTAGCCAGGTCACTTAACCTTTGAGCCTTTGTAAAAAGAAGCTAAGAGAAACAACCTGGAGGGATTATGAGGATTTAAAACAAGTTGTGTCAAGTAGCTGGTGTTACACAGTAACTTTTATTCTTTGTTTAAAGCCTATGAAACTAATTGATTCATTTAACAATTTTTTAAAAATATATGCTGTGTTACCAAAAGATGCTAAAGAATTACTGTTGTTCAAAGTTTTAACATCAGAGTCACAAAATTAGACCTGTGTTTAGACAAGTTACACAGCTTCTGTGACGGATGGATGACTTCCCGAACAATTTATAAACTATTTCCATATTATTATGACAGTAGTTGTGGAAAACACTGGATGAAGATAAGAGTCATTCCAAAGGTTACATTGATAGGACTTAATGACAGATTGGTAAATGGCAATAAATAACAGTTACATATTGTTGACTGTGTGCTGTATAGCAGCAATGGAAAGTACTTTATTCATTTTGATTAATTTTTACAACCCTTTTATGTCAGTATAACTTTTATTCCACTTTATAGATCGTAGAAAGATGAGGTAACGTGCTCAAAATCCGTACAGCTAGTAAATAGCTCGACTAAGTGGAATATGTCATCCTTAAATAAAATGAGGGTGGTAAGAACAGTAGAACAGACATTGCTAAGAAAGATAACTTTGATTTGGAATGTGTGGAATGACAGTATACCTATTTGTTATCATAGGACATTGAGAAAGTAAACTATGACTATCATGTAACTTCCTGATCTTCTGTAACCAATGTGTAGAGAAGAGAACTTGTACCATAGCTTATGTCCTGTTTAATCTGATCCATATCCGTACTCAAAAATGAAGGTATGTTTGAGTCTTTACAGATCTTTAAGATTGAAAATTGCAGATGAGTGTTATTCACATGGGGCAAGATTTTCTGAACTTAATTCTCCAGGCCACACACACACACACACACACACACACACACACAAAATCTTAGAAAGGAAGGAGAGTATCAGGGCTGAGAAGAGAACGCTGGGAAAAGTCTGATTTCTGGGAGATTTGTGGCTTTCTGTGTTTATGCAGTTCTGTCCACTATCTCCTTAGATGGTGGCTTTGATGATGAAAACAAATGGAGAAGTGGTAATCTGCTCTTTATAGATTTTTTCAGAAGAGTTAGTAGTGAATTCTGTAGTGACAGTCATAGCCTGCATTTGTATTTTGTTTATAATTCTACCCCCTTACAAAATAACTTGAAATGCTCAACACTTGACAGTTTGTTAGATACTGTTAGTTATATTACTTAACTTTTCAACAAATGCCAAGGTTGTGATCAAGCCAAAGTCTCTGCCTTCATAGTGTTTATTTTATAATGAAGCAGGTAGGCAATAAAATTATAATTCCAGATAGGAATAAGAGGATTTAAGTATAGAAAGTGGTGAGTGAGGCAGAGGGTAGGGTTATGGTTGGCAGGGAAGGGATATTTTAGATTTGGTGAAAGAAAACCTCTTGGATAAAGTGACATTTGCAGAGGCCTGGGTGAACAAGGAAGTAATCCCTGCAGCTGTGACAGGAACGCTGGGGAACAGCAGGAGCAAAAGCCGTGAAATGGGAATGCATTAGACTGTTCAAGAACAGAACGATGTTGTGTTGAGGTTGTAATGAGCACTCTGAAAGAAGTTGCAAGTGATGAAGTTAGAGCGAGATCCCCAGGCCCGATCTAATAGGACCTATAGGCCACAATAAGGATTTTTTATTTTATTCTGACTGGGATAAGAAACCTTTGAAGGACTTTGTTCAAGAAATTGACATTTTATTTACATATTTAAATGATCATTCCAGCTGCTGTCTGGAGAATTGATGATAATGGAAGAGGAGTAGAAGCAAGTAAATGTGAGGATGTGTTTGAACTGCAGGCAAGACACTCGTGATAGCTTGGAACAGGTGGTTGTGACAGATGAAATGAAGATTCATATGAATTTTGAAAAGCTAGAGCTAACAGAAATGCTAATAAATTGGCTGTGGGATGTGAGGAAGGAAATGAAGAAGGATTTCAGTGTTTTTGCCCTCTCAGCAATTTCCGCTGGTATTTTCTGAGATGGGAAAGACTAGGCAAAATATGTGGTTTGCTAAAATTTGAGAGTTCAGTTTAAGCTTGAGATATGCTTCAGATAAATAAGTGAAGAGGTCAGGTGGGTATTTGCGTGTTGGAATGGGGAGATAATGAGAGAAGTCGGGAGTGGAGAAGATAGGTTTGTGAAACATCAACATATAGAGAGCCATGGAGCTTAAAGCCAGAGACCCTCTGAAAGGACATCTGTGTAGATAAGGGAGCCCAGGACTGAATGTAGTCTTGGGCATCATGGAAGGGTAGAGCAGACAGAGTCGGAGGTTCCGGAAAAGGAAATGGAGAAGGAAGACAACTCCTGGAAGCCAAATGAAGAAAATGTTTTCAGTGAGGGGGTTAGCAACTGCAAATGCTCCTGAAAGGTCTGGTAGACAGTGGAGATCATTGTTTTTAGTTTCATTAGAATGATGGAAAGGAAAGCCTGACAGGATGGGTTGAAGTGAGAGTGTGATAAATGGTTATGCAGCACTAAATGCCACCTGGTTGTTTTTCTAATGATTAATTTTGGCATATACTTCCATTTTATGAGTCAGGCTAGTATCATCTAAATAATTACTTATATGTTTTAGAAATTAGTGTTTAGCTGATCAACGGAAGCCTGCTTTAAAAATGCCAAAATACTCTTCCTTTGATGAGAATGCATACTTAGCTGGAGGTTAAAGTGAAATGCATTAATGGCTTTGTACCCTCATCCTGGGTGTCACTTTGAAACTATCTGCAGCATCACTGCTGCACTGTCAGTCAGACAGTCAGACTCAGGAGACACAAATAGGCTTTATTAATAACTGTTTATTGAGCTTTAAAGGGGGTAAGACAGAAGATAGAGTAGGGACAGAATCTTCATCTCATATGGAGACCTAGTCCCAGTCTTCCCCAAATACAGCAATTAACCCAAATCCACTGCTTCCCCCCACCCTTATCTAGATGCCTAAAAGCTTTAGCCCTTTTGCCCACCAATCTATTCTGTCATGCTGCTCATAGCCTCAAGGCCTGCATCCCAACTAATAGCATCTCCCAGCCAGTGTAACAGAGAAGACAGATGAAACTTCGCATTTGTCTTACTATCACCCCAGGCCTCCTATTAAGGCTTTGCTCACTCATTTTTGTGTGTATATGACACCATTCAACAGATTTTTGAATTGCTATATACCAGGAACTGGGGATGTACCAGTAAGTACATTCTAGGATAAACAGATTAGTAAAGCTTTAAGTTAAGAGAAGAGGACGGGGAGATAGTTGTCTGTCCAGAACTTTGGAGTCTAAGAGATCTTGGAGTCTTGAGTATAGGAGATCTCACTTTACTTCAGCAAGTAAAGAACATTTTTAAAAATCAAGTGTTTTTTTCTCAGTGGAGGTTGTGAAATGAACACATCAGTCTATCATTCTTATTTATACTAGAACGTATAAAAAAAAAGCTGTTAACATAGGAGGTAAATTATATAACAGGCAAAATGAAAGTTGCCACAGCTAATAGTGAAAATGTCCAAAGTTTGAGCCCATTTCCATTCAGATAAAGGCTAAACTAAGTTTTTTTTATATCACTAATAATTATTTTGCCGACTTAATATTTCTTTCCTTCCCATTTCACAGAAATGGAAACTGAGAGTGAAAATAAAGAAAAGGCAATGGAAGAAGAAAGCATAGAAAAGAAAAAAGAAGTAGAAAAAAAGAAAAGGTCTAGAGTTAAACAGGTGCTTGCAGATATTGTGAAGCAAGTGGACTTCTGGTTTGGAGATGCAAATCTCCACAAGGATAGATTTCTTCGAGAGCAGATAGAAAAATCTAGAGATGGATGTAAGTTTCCTTCAGTGTATTGTATCAGATTTAAGAGCTCTTATCTACTTCTAATCTATATGTGCTGCATATAATGTACAATATACACTGTATAAAAGTTTTAAGAGCTGTTAAAATATATATATGCCACATATAATGTCCAATATACACTGTATAAAACATATTTTTTTAAATTTTAACAATTGAAAATGTTTTTGAAACTTTTTCATTAGATGTTGATATATCACTTCTTGTGTCATTCAACAAAATGAAAAAATTGACCACCGATGGAAAGTTAATAGCCAGAGCACTAAAAAGTTCTGCTGTGGTAGAGGTAAGAATTGTTACATATTTTGTGTCACATGATGCTGTTAGTTAATACTGACTTTATGTACTGTTTTACAGCTGGATTTAGAAGGCACCAGAATCAGGAGGAAAAAGCCGCTGGGTGAGAGACCCAAGGATGAGGATGAGCGGACAGTGTATGTGGTAAGCCACTTTTCTGGACAGCTCAGAACTGCTGTCTCCCAGCAAAAACATTGTAGTATTCAATTTAAGTAAGACTTTATTTTCAGTTAAGTTTTCAACACTTTATTTATTACTAACTTATCATAGGAACTGCTTCCCAAAAATGTTAACCACAGCTGGATTGAGAGAGTATTCGGGAAATGTGGCAATGTTGTTTATATAAGTATACCACATTATAAGTCTACTGGGGACCCGAAGGGATTTGCCTTCGTGGAATTTGAAACAAAAGAACAAGCTGCAAAAGCTATTGAGGTAGGTCCACAACCTAAAATAAAGAGAAAGAAAATTACTAAGTGTTTTAAACAGTAACAGAATTTTGCTTATTTCATTTCAGTTTCTTAATAACCCACCAGAGGAAGCACCGAGAAAACCTGGTGTATTTCCCAAGACAGTGAAAAACAAGCCCATTCCTGCTCTGACAGTAACTGGTGAGTTCTCATTAAATACTTTATTAGACATAGATGAAGCAAAATAAGTAAATATAATAACATTGTTACAGAAGAAAAGAAAAAGAAGAAGAAGAAGAAAGGCCGAACAAAAAAAGATGACAATATCCAGCCCAAGGAGTCAAATATGGATGCAACCAAGGAAAGTGTCTGTAAAAAAAGATCAAGGACCACATCTGAGAGCTCTGAAGTAGAGGTTACTGAACCCCAAAAGCAACCCACAAAGAAAAAGAAAAAACGAGAAAAAACCGAAGTATCCAGCTTACCTTTAGTCAAAGCAGGAAAGAGGAAAAGAAGCGGCTCTGAAGATGCAGACTGCTTCACTCCCAAAATGAAAGCTAAGAAAGTATCTCAGAAAGACAACGTTAAAAAAGAAGCTCCAGAAGTTTGTAAAGAAAACAAAGGTATTTCTGACTTTACTTTTATGGTTAGATAAGGAGGGTTTTCTTAACTCATGTCTTTATTTCTTGTTAATTTAGAATTAGAAGTCTCTACGGAAGAGGAAAAGGATACTGGAGATATAAAAGACGGATCCCTACTGAAAGCAAAAAGAAAACATAAGAAAAAACATAAAGAGAGGCATAAGATGGGAGAAGAGGTTATTCCATTACGAGTGCTATCGAAGTAAGTCATGGGTGCAAATAACACACTCCATCACCATTGCTAAAGTGCAATTCCAGGTTGAATTGAACAGAGTTGCATATTAGCAACAGTAATGGCCTGAGGTCAGGATCTGCACAGAAGTTGCACAATGCTGGGGGTTAAAAAGGAACCACCACACTAAAACATGGAAGCACTTATTTCCTTATGAAGTTACAGCAAGTGCCTCCATGTTAAAGTAGAGGGTATTCCTTAAAAGGTGCATCTTGTGGCATACCAAGGCGCGGCAGTGTAAGTAAGCACTTTTTCTTGGAGACAAAATGAAGAAAGCAGACTTACCATCACTGAAACATGGAAGCACTTACTTTCTCAGGTATAAAGCAAGCACATCCACGTTTGAGTGGTGGGGAGCCCACGGCATTTTCATCATTTTCGGAGCGTTTTCAGAGCAAGTATCGACTTGGAGACACCTCCACTGAAACACGGAAGCACTTGCTTTTCTTCTCACAGCAGGCACCCCCGTGTTAAAGCAGAGGGGTGCCCACGAGCCCAGACTGCGAGCGTCGCCACTTCCATCCAGGGGTTCCCTCGGATTCACTTCCACTAAAACATGGAAGCACTTACTATTTTAAAGACACAGCAAGTGCTGCCATGTTAAAGTTAAAGGGAGTCCAACTTCTCGAGAGGCAGGAGATACGGAGAAGAAAGAAAACGGCATACCTTTTAAAAGCAGGTTTCCTGCTTAACCTTCCTGGATTACGGCTTCCAAAGACCCCAGTTTCCCTCTTGGAGGGTTAAAAGGCTAGGACTTTGGGTACTTCTATTTATACTATTCTTAACTCCTGAATTCCTCTTCCCTTTTTATCTCAGAGAATCTCAGGGTTCCGAGAGCCCTTTGTTATTCTAATGTATCAGCTCTCAGGGAATGTATGGTCCTGGGTGGGTCTGGATTTTTTTTTTTTTTTTGAAGTATACAGATGTCAATGTTAACAGCTAAAACCATTACCACAGATATTCTCCTCTTTAAAAAAAAAAAAAAAAATCCCCTATCTGCGTGTTTGATGGCACAGATTAGGGTAACAATGAGTGCTCCTGCAGAGCCAGGAGAGGCATTGTATTTCTATCTGGAGGACCTCTAGCTGTTTGAGGAAACCTCTACTGACCAATGTATGTAAATAAATTAATTGCTTCCATGGGGTGTTTTTTTTCTTCTTTGAAATTCCTTTGACTCCAGTAAATACTGAGGAATGTTACCGTTCAAATTGGAAGCAGTTTAACAAATGTTAAAATTTTAATTTTTCACCAAGAGTTAACTGATTTTTCTAGTAAATGTTACTAGTTAGTTAACTCAGTGCTTTTATTTTTGTCAGTCAAACATTTGAAGTAGACTCAAGAATTGAATCAGCAAATATAAAACGTTTAACCTGAATGTTGGGACAGAGGGAACTCCCCTTTTCTCGTTTGCCAGATGGACCTAGAACTCAGGAAATAATTTAACTGTGTTTAAAGAAAGATTGGGAGAAGGAGTGGTTGTAAGTCACTGAATCTCTGTATTTTGAGACTTACTTTTTATTTAATGATGTGTTGTCAGTGTTTAAAAGTACAATTATTTTCACTACAGGACAGAATGGTTGGATTTGAAGAAAGAGTATTTAGCACTGCAAAAAGCCAGCATGGCTTCTTTAAAAAAAACAATATCCCAAATAAAGTCACAATCAGAAATGGAAACAAATGGAGTGCCTACTAATTCCGGAATGAAAGGTGAAAAAAGTAAGCATCAATATGATAGTTTTTGTAGCATTATATTCTACTTATACTAAAACGCACTGAGTTATTGTAGGATAAACTTTAGTTTTTGAAACTCAATTATATAGTGGTTGTTATTAGAGCAATTACTGATTTCTCAAGTTGTCCAGATGTGATTTATCCTTAACCTAAAAATATTTGAAGGGCTCATTTTAAACTGAATCTTTTTTAATCACATACATTTTCTCTATACAGTTTTCATTAGTAATCAAAATTAGTGATGAGTGCCTAGTTTGTAGTTCATTGCGTTTGTAGAAACAAAGATGATCTTTGATATTTATATTTTAAATTCCCATAAGTTGAAAATATAAATTTCCACATTTGAATTGTAACGGTATACCTTTGCCTGTTCTTTCTTTATTGAGTAAAACAATTTGTTACTGGTTCAGTGAAAGATTTTAAAAATGTTCTTCTAATGGTAAAAGTTTGCATTTACAGAAATAAGAGTTTCTGTATTTTACTTTATGGTAATCTATAATAAATAGTATAACTTAAAACATAATAACCTTATGAGTAAGTTTAAATTACTTAAATAAAGCTGGGAGACCACTATTGATACTCTAGAGCGGGCCTATAAGCGTTAAATTATTAAATGGAAGAGATATTTTTCTGGTCTTTTTCTTTTCGCTTCAACAGAAAACAGTGAAGAGTGTGGTCCCCAGGAGAAAGCTAATGCAGCAGGCCCACAGTTTGTGAGTGGTGTGATCGTGAAGATCATTAGCGCCGAGCCTTTACCTGGCAGGAAGCAAGTCAGGGTAATGCTTTTGAATCCCCATGATAGTTGTTTCTCTTTCTTCTTAAAAACCCCCGTGTGAAAGTGTTTTGAATGTGGAAAATGAGGCAAATCAAATTAGAATTTGTTCTCTTGTGGTAAACTGCTTATTGGGTTTGATTCCATAATAACCCTTTAAGTCTGACTTGAGGCAAATTCTGATACCTGGAATTCCTCACTGAATCAAATTTATAGTGAACTTAGTTTAATCCTTTTATAAGAAAACAGCAATCTGTGCTTATTTTTCTTGGTGCCCCAATGGTTGTGTATAGGAAAAGGACGAAACCCTACTGTAGTTATTATATCAAATGAGGAGATTAAGTAAAATGCTTTCCCAATATTCATTTTCTCAGGGGACCTTTTCTGTTTTTCAGAAAAATCAAGAGAAACTAGATTTTGAGGCAATACTTAGGGATAAAACTTTCATAAAGATTAACTAACATTAAAGTTGATTTGTGATTGTTTCTAAAATAAAGCTATTTGCTGTTGTCTTATTTGGAGCAAACTAGAGAATTTGTAATTTGTTTTCATTAGATCTTTTAGTTTTCAATAAATCCCTAAAAGATTTTGTGACGTGAAAATCAGAACTATTTTGAAATAAAAGGGATAGTGTGCATATTTTTCACTTACCATAGACTTAGTTTATTTCTGTCTGTCAATGAATCCTCTTGAGAATTGAAAATTTTCTCCTGAAAAAAATGCAGGGTTGTTGTTTATAGCAAGAAGAGCCTTTTAAAATTTTATTCCTTAAAGTTTTTTGGTACTTTCAATCCTCACCAGTTAGTTTAAGGTTTTTGAAACAATTACAGGAAAGTGTATTTTGAGTGTCTCCAGAAGCTTATCGCTGACACTAAACTCCCATCCCTGCTGGTCGCGCCGCTTTCACCTCAGAGTTTGTCCTGTACAGCTCGCACTAGCGTGGCGATGCGTCTTACTCACGTCCTCCTCTAGTGGGGGCAGCCTATCTACTTTTTAACTTTGTCATCCACTTAAGTGAGACACTTCCTTTTTAAACTATGTAAGGTGTTCTGTAACATAGCAAGCATATTCATAATTCTTACACTGACTTCAGCACCGTGTGGTATGTTGCTTTGGTTTTCCATAGACTGTTACCAGTCAACATTTTTTAACTAAATTAAACATTAAAGTTGCTCATTGTAACCATCTGTAAGCACTCTTTATCTGAAACCCTATCCCCTGAAATCCTTTAGCTGTCACTAACAAGTAAATCTAGACTCTTACTATAGTATTGATGAGGAATTTAGTTAATCCCAAATTGATATACTAGCTTTCACTTCAAAATTTGGTAGCAAAATAGACTTTGCAATAAGAAGGATTAAAAAATTGAAGATGTAAATGCTGCTGTGGTTAGTCAGATGGCCCACTGTTTTAAAAGAAAAATTACTCAAAGTTTGTTATTTTGAATAACTGGTATAGGTTTAATTATATTTATCAGATTTTATTATCTAAATGGTAATTATGTCAATTACAAATTCTTCATTTTTGATCACCAAAATCATAAAATAAGTGCATTAACCAAATTATTAATTACTTACATTTTGCGGGAACAAAAACTGAGCTATGATTCTTACTGCTGTCTGTGAGTTGCCCCTGTGATTGCCAGGTTAATTTGTTATTCTAAGAAGGGTTTTAAATTTGGAGATTAGCCTGACATTATAATGGATATTTAGTAAATATCTTTTGAATTGAAGTAATTGAATCTGTCTGATAAATCAGTTACAAAACCCTCACTACTGCCAATAAACACATTCAAATTTCATCACTTAATACCTTATTTTTCCTTCTTTGTGTTTAAATTAAATACTCATTAACTAGATAGAGAAATGGGAAGAATTGGCAAGTATATTTCTCTCCAGTTTTCAGTTTTAAATTGAATTTGCCTAAAATTATAAACTGCCTATTTTTTGATAGGCAGTGATTTAAGTGTTCAGATAAATTAAGACTTAGTACCTGGCTTGTATTAATATATAAGCATGGATTTTTACTACTTACTCTTTTTTTTTTTTTACTACTTATTCTTTATTATTAACTAATGCACTTTTCTTTTGAAATGATATTTCCAGGTATTGCTGAGTTCTTTCTGTAATTCAGAATTTTAAAATTCAACATCAAAAAGTAATCTAGGGTATTCTCTGGTGGTCCAGTAGTTAGGACTCCAAGCTCTCACTGTGAAAGGCCCTGGTTGGGGAACTAAGATCCCACAAGCCAAGAGGCGCGGCCAAAAAATATATTTCTTTTAATAAATAAATAATCTAAATTAGTTGTACCTTGAAATTTTGGGTTTAAACTGTAGGGGTTGAGGTAGGTAGGACTATTTTTTTCTTTCTTTCAGTTGGGAACCCTCAGTACTTCTTTAGCTTTATGAATGGAAGTTGATGAATTAAGAATTAGTGTAACATTCCTGCATAATTACCTTGCTTACAGGGTAGAACCTGCTGTGAAAAAAAAATGACCTGGGAATGCAGGAATCTTGTTAATTTACCCTCACAGCAGGCCTTATAGGTAAAACTTCTCATTGTTATGTGACTCGAAGAGGTTGCTTAGATGTTTTATCAGGGTAAAAACTCTGGCCTATCTGTATTCCCATAGACAACTTAAGAACCAAATATCTCTCTGTGTGCCTTGAAACTTTTTTCACAAGTGGTTATAAAAAGTTTGCATATATTTTAAGTCCTAAGTGATTTTGTACAGGTAAGTGGAAACACAACTTCTTCCTTAATGCCATTTCAGTTTTGTATTTTGTTTTACTCTGCCTCCACCCAGACATGGAACCCGTCTTCTAAATTTGAGGGCTAGAGGAAAGTATTTGTACATTCTATACTATAGATCTTTTTTTCTTATTCCATATTCCCATCTAGTACAATTTTAAAGATACTGTTGAATGAAAGATAGTTGATAGAGTTGATGTTAAATTGGTCCTCAACTTTGTCCAAGTCCATTTCTAAGAGCATTTGTTTTGAGGTCTTTGTTTTTGGCGGTAGTTTGGTTTTTGGTTTGGAGTCTTTTTTGGGCATCTTTCTTATTAGCTTATGGGATCTTAGCTCCCGGACCAGGAGTTGAACCTGTACCCTTGGAAGCGAGTGAAGAGTCCTAACCGTTAGACTGCCAAGGAATTCTCCATTTGTATATATCTTGGAAGCTAACTGAAATGAAATAGTTACTCCTCGTTTGCAATGATATATGGCTCAATTTTATAATAGATCCTACAGTGGAATAATTTTAGAATTATAATGAAATGTTTTTATTGTTTATTTTAAGCCCTTCTAAATTCTAATGCAGGATACTTTGGCAGCAGTCTCAGAGGTGGTTTATGTTGATTTGCTGGAAGGAGATACAGAATGCCATGCTAGATTTAAAACTCCTGAGGATGCTCAAGCAGTAGTAACTGCACATTCAGAAATTAAAAAGAAACACTGCTGGAAACTAGAGATTCTTTCTGGTAAAACTTTATAGAACCTTCTCTCTCTTTTTTTTTTTATTTTAACAAAGCTTATTTTGGGGTGATTGTTTTATAATTTCCGAGTTTGACAAATGAAACTGGGGGGGGGCGGTTCTTTACACTAATATAAAGGCATACTAGTAAAAAGGCATTAAATAACTTGGACAACTATTCTGGTTCTACTGAAATTATAAAGCTGTGGATGTGTTTCTTCATCTATATCCTTATGTTCAGTGATAAGCATTTTTGTGTTTGTTTGTTTTTTTTTAAAGGTGATCATGAGCAGAGGTATTGGCAGAAGATTTTGGTAGATAGACAGGCCAAACTTAATCAACCTCGTGAAAAGAAAAGAGGCACTGAGAAGGTAATCAGTTCATACTTTGTAATTTAAATTTCTGGCTGTTTTCTTTTATAACTTGGTAGTAAATGATTATTTAAAGATTGTCTTAATGGTAAAAAGCACAATATATTTAGAGTGCAGTTTTTAAAGCTATGAGTCTCTACAGATAAGATTGAGAATCTGTGCATATCATTCCCGTTAGCAGTGGTAAGCTTTATTCCTTTTTCTCTAGAATAGCTGACAGGGGAAATAAACAATCTTAAAATTAGTACCTTAAATAATTTATAGAAAAAAACAATAATAATTTAAAGCAAGTCTCTCAATAACTTTACTTTAAAAGACACTTAAGAATTTATCAGATGTTTATTGTTGCTAGTAAGCTGTTTATTCTTTTTAAAAATATTATACGTGTTAAAGTTAGTACATCTTAAAATGCTTAGAGCATAATAGGGCACATAATAATTAATATTATCAATTTCTAAATGTATATTATAAAAATCAATAAAATCCAAAAAGATGTATGTGCATTATTTTATGATCCGTTAGTCCTTGAAAGGTCATACTTCCCATGTTCTGGGTTTGTTAAGGTCCTATTTTTTTTTTTTTAATTGGAAAATCAAGTTTTTTTCATCAGTCTTGCATCTCCTAGGATTCATTGGAATTTAAAATGATTTGGGAGGAGGTTTTCTACTGATCTTTGTTAATTCTCTTTCCATGAATGCAGACTGAATTTGCTGAGATAGAGAGGCCTCCTTCCTCTTTAAGGACTCTTTCAGGTCTATGAGGTGTTAATTTCAAAGCCTACTTAAGCTTTGATTAACTTAAATGTTAAAATCATTAATCCAGAACTCACAATTGAAATGAAATCACTATGTTAAATAATACTTTTACTTCTAATTGGTGTAAAATATCATTTAAATTGTATATATTTTTAAAACTAGAAAAAAGCAGTTATGTTTTTAAGAAAGACCCCATCTGCATAAATTAAGTTCGAGACAAGGAAATAAACATTGACAGAGAATTTTATAAATTGGGTTGAAACCAGTGAGTAATTCTATCACTGAATTGAAGGGTTTTCATGTATTGGTTAACAGGATCAGGCTTTTATCATTAGCATGATTTGTATGATAAGCAGACTTCTGAAAGTATAGAATCCTAGCTAAAGCAATGAAAGTACTAATTTGCTCATTTCATAAAATGAAGAAAGGTTCCACACGACCTAGCTTCTCAGAGGAGAGGAGGTTATTAGTTTACTACTTTGTTAATTCATTTAATTAACATTTTTCGCATTGGTTTGTGTTAGCCACTGTTTAAGAACTGAGTGTTTAGCCATGAGTAACAAGGTCTCCTTCTTTCATGAGGCTTAGAGTTAATATAGTAGGTCAGATGATGACCAGTGCTGTTCAGAAGACTCAAAAATACAAAGGTGACCATAGAAGTGAGCAGACAAGCCAGGAGAATTTAGGCGCTCCACTTTACACTCTAAGGCAACAGAAATACAGAGGTCTTGGAGGGAGATTGTCAGACTCGGAGGCCAGTGTAGCTGGGGTACAGGAAGCAAGCAAGCATGTTAGTGATAGAAAATAAGCATTTAGGAAAAATTAACAGCCAAAAGTATAGTGTAAATACCTCACTGACATACCATTCTACCATTTCCACAGTAGTATACTTGAGTGAAAGAAAAAAAACACTAATAGAAAATCCTGGTTCTTCTTTTCACTTTGTGGAGGAGAAGGCTACGGGGACAGTTTTCTAAGCTCTGTTCAGTTTGTATAGAATTAAAAGACAATTGATTAAGAAATACTTCATTTTCTATGTATGATATTTTGACATATAAACATCAAGTGCAGATAAATTAAATTAAGACCTGAGACAAAGATCAGTAAGATGAAGAAAAGAACTGCCAAAAGGGCTCTCATTTATTCTACCTCAACCACATCTTTCTAGTGTACCCTATCACATTGAGCATTTTAGTAAAATTAGATAACAAGTATTGGAGACACAGTGAGGCTTTTCTCATTTATCTTTATAGCTTGTAAAGCACATTTGAATTTCTCATTGTTTTTACCAAAATCGTCTTTCCTTTATAAAGTACTGACAGGTCAGCTATTAAACAGATAAAGATAGAATTCATAAAATTTGTGAAAAGAATATGGTTGTGAGTTTTAAACACTTAAATTTTGACTCCACTGACAGTTTGTTTTTAGTTTAATCTGAAAATGACTTCCTAAAAACTTACCACAATAAAAAAAATGAAAAATAAATAAAGGTGACTTCCTGCTGATGACCACTTATCACTAGTTTAAAGAAACTATTTTAATGAATAGTTATTAGAATCTGTGTTTATAAGAGAATAAGATTTTCATTTCCTCCAAAGCTAAATATGATACTTTAGTTTTTCTACAGGAAAGCTTTTGGGCATTTTAAATGGTCTTCTTCATTCTGTATAATTTAATTTGCCTTCTTTAAAATTTTTGATTATTTATGTAAGGGTGTAATAATAAGTACTTTTAATAGCAGACCCTTATTTAGAATATTTCTCAAATTTGTAGGCAAAGTTTCTTAATAATTAATACTCAAACCCAAAGGGATATGATGAAACAAAGATTGGTCTTCAACCCTCCTAAAATGTCAAAAAAAATTTTTAATTTTATATTGGCACATTGGGAATTAACAGTGTTGTATTAGTTTCAGGTGTATAGCAAAGTGATTCAGTTACTACACATATACATGTGTTCTTTTTCAGATTCTTTTCCCATTTAGGTTATTACAGAATACTGAGGAGCATTCCCTGTATTGAATAGTAGGTCCATGTTGGTGAAATTATGGTTATTTATTAATTAATTAATAACCAAATTATTGATTATTTTTAATTGAAAAAAATTTTAGTAGTCTAGCACTAAAATGCAAGGATCTTAGATAATTCAAAGATTTAATATCTACTATATTTAATAAGCTCTAATTTAGGCAGTTCTCTCTGTAACTGATTTGATCTGAGCTTAATTATCTCCTTTGTTTTCCTCGTCCCCCTTTTAAAAAATTTTATTCAAGCTAATAGTTGTGAGATTTTTCTAGTCATAATTATCTTTCTGTTTTTACATATCCAGTTCCTTCTAATTTCTGATTTTTTTCTCTGTAGTTAATCACCAAAGCTGAAAAGATTAGACTCGAAAAGACTCAACAAGCAAGTCAACACATCAGATTTTCTGAATATGACTGAAAAAAATTTTTTGTTCACCTCTTCAGATTTCACTGGATACTAGAGCTATTCTTAGGAATACCTTTTTTTTTATGGTGGTAATGCATAATGTTTTTCTAAAACCTACATTTAATTAAATAGTTGTTCTTTAACTTGTAAATACGACTTTTCCTGGAGACAGTTACATTGTTTACCACAGTTTTTCTGTAAACGTTGCATTTGTTGAAATTATATGACACAGATCAACCTCAAAGTGATTTAGAAAATAAATGTGTTTGAAATTATCATTAAGTTTGCTGTTTTTATATTGCAAAAACAACATATATGCAAAAATAATAGTGCTATCTAAATAAATAGGTTGGGGGAAATGTTTAACAGAGAATGCTCATTGTGCTTTTTGTTTTGTAACTTGCTTTTTCCATTTGAAATATCTTGGATATCCTTTCATGTTGATTTATACAGAGACATGTGTGATATTTCATTCTGTTTATTGTACTTTGCCTGTCCCAGCTCCCATTGAACTGACCATATGAACTGTTTGCAATTTAAATGTTTTAAGCATATTGAGTTTGTTTTCATAAATGAAGTTAAACATTTTATTTTGATTAGACAAAATAAAATGTACCAGATGCTGTAAACAAAGAAAAAAAAATTCTAGGAACCAGCCTTTGGTATAATTGAGTGTGTCATTTTATTCGGGAAAATCACAGAAGGGAGTGTTGAAGGCCTTTCTAGAACTGAATGTCCAGGGATGTACATGACTGGCATCTTAATCTCTCATCAGGATATCAGGAAAGTACTCTGACGACCTTGGGATTCATTTCCGTTCTAGTCCCATCAGCTTTGTCCAGCAGTGGGGAATTAACTTGGTTGTCCCTTGGATGCATTGTGGGAGGCAAAGAATCAAGAATCTGTTCATTCCTATGGGCCAGAGATTTGGGGAGATTGGCTGCATCAGGGTGGGGTAGCAGCAGCTTACTACCAAAATTAGGCATGCTGGCAGGTTGCCAATGACCACTAGTTTTTCTCTCCCCATGAAGAAAAACTAGCACATACACTCATGAAGAAAAAGAATGATCAGTAAATTGTTGCTAAATCCTCTTATGAGGATTATGACTAAATATGTGCTGGTTGATCCAGAATAATCAGTAGTAGGTTTATGTCTCAAGAATTCAGTTAATGTCAAGGAGGGCTGTCATAAGGTGACTTTGGAGAGGTTATCAAGTAAACTTTCAGAAATTCTCCCCTTGGCAGTCTTTAAAACAAGATAATCAAGACACCATAGTAGCACTTGGGAGGCATTAGTGAAGTAAATCAAAGATCCCTCTGTCACGGTGCTTATATTCCAGCAGTAGATAGAGACAATAAATAAAAACAAGTAAAAATTATACAATGTTAGATAAGTCCTAGGACAAACAGAAAAGGATGGAGGGGGAGAAAATTTCATTCATTCATTCTTGCATTTATTCTTCAGTTCACTTAACTAAAGGAATACTTATTTGACCCTGGCTTCCCTGGTGGCTCATTTGGTAAAGCATCTGCCTACAGTGCAGGAGACCTGGGTTCGATCCCTGGGTCAGGAAGATCCCTGGACAAGAAATGGCAACCCGCTCCAGTGCGCTTGCCTGGAAAATCCCATGAACCGAGGAGTCTGGTGGGCTACAGTCCATGGGGTTGCAGAGTTGGGCACGACTGAGCGACTAACACTAACACCACTAACCAGCAGATCAGACAACACTGTAGACTTGAGAGACGTGAAGAAAAGGTAAGGTCCCCTGCCTTTGAGGGATTTACAGCCCTGAGGGAAACAGGGACAAGTCAACAACATAAACTGGCAGTACAGTGTAACAGGACAGTTACTCCAGATGATACGGGATAGGTTCCTGAAAGCAGAGTCCTAATTCTGCATCATCTTTCAAGACATATAACCTTGGATCCTTCAGGTAAGTATATTCCCTTCCTTATCCAACACTTAGCACATAGTAGTTGCTTTATAAATGTGACTTGAAAAAAAAAAGTGACTTGAATGTGTGCTTCAGGGTGTTCCCCAGGGTCAGAGGTTGATTTAGTTGCATAAAGGATATTTTCTCTTACTCAAGTCGCTGATTCTCAGTGTTCATGTTCCTTTTTTTTTTAAGTGTCTGCTACACACCTGTCTGTGTGCATGTCAATGGGGTTTGCTTCCCTTAACTGCAGTACTGATTTAAGCACCTTGCAGTAGCTCCCTATCACTTTCACAAAGGAAACCTCATTGGCTATTGTCTTTTCTTACTTGTTTGCTGTGTTATCTCAGAGAAGTAGGTACCAGTGGTATCACCACTTTAAAAATGCAGAAGCTGAAGCACTTGCCAAAGGTCATAATAAACAGCTAGTCTAGGATTTAAAATCAGTTTCTCTTATTCTGAAGACCACACATTTAATGATTAGGATACCTCTCTTTCTCCCAACGTCTTGCCAACTTCTTTTCTTCCTTATTTCTTTTTTAACCAGTGCTTTGCATCCCATAGTAGAGATGTACTGCAATTTATGTAACTGTACTTCTACTGGGCTTGTAGTTGTCTGCTTTATTTTACTACTAAAAGCAATGCTGCAATGAACATTGTATCCCCCACCTTTGTTGACATGTGTACGTCTGCATGATGGATTTCTGGAATAAAGATTGCTGGGAGAAATCTTTTATATAACATGACTGAAATAGTCCAAAAATGCTGTATAGAACTTCACTGCCAGCAACAGCTATTGCGTTCTTATAAATATTTTCTCCCATTCAGTCTCTTGCCTTTAAATTTGGTCTATGGCAGTTTTATAGATATTTTATATTTTTACAGAGCCATATCTTTGTTTTCTGGTTTTTTGGCCCTACCACATGGCTTGTGGGATCCCTGACCAGTGATCAAACATGGGCCAGTGGCAATGAAAGCACTGAGTCTTAACCACTGGACCCTCAGGGAATTCCTAGAGCCTTATCTTTTAATCTGCTATTAACAGAACTTGATTTCTCCTTCTGACACCTGTGAGTCCTGTCTGTACTTCATTTCTTGATTTTGATACCCAGAAGAGAGAGTTACAAGCAGAAATCTTTCTTGAGTTAGCATGAGTGAGTGTGTTCTTTGCAGCTAAGCACAACCTTAAGTAAATATCATACTTCAAAAAAAAAGCATTACCATTCTTTAAAAAATAATCATATTCAGGTTTATTAATTTATTAGGCAGTAGTAATTTCTCTAAAACTCTGCAGACTTCCTATCTGATTTTAGAGAATTCCACATGCTAATAACCACACCCTTGATTTGTTTTTTTTAAGACATACTTCTGTGCTATCTTGGTTTCTTACCTCTCTCTGGATTTAAGAGTTTCTGTGGCAAAGTTATACTATTCATCTAAAATTTTTTTCCCTGAATTTCCTTATCTTTTAAACCATTTTTAAAATTGAAATATAATTAATTTACAATATTATGTTAGTTTCAAGTATACAGCAAAGTGATATATGTATAAATATTTTCCAGATCCCTTTCCACCATAAGTTATTATGAGATATTGAACACAGTTCCCTGTGCTCTACAGTAGGTCCTTGCTTTTAAATCACACATTTTAAAAAATGCCTTAGAAAGTTTATAAGAGAGAAAAGCAATTGGAATGAAAAACTAGGAAAGAGTTACACTAAGAAAGAGTCAACATTGTCACTTGTACTTAGTCCACACTTGTCTATTGACCTTAATGATACCACACCAACAAGGCTGCCTTATTCCTGTAAAGTCTTACTCTGATGGCAGTATTTGCATAGGTTACAATGTGAATGGTGTTCTTGGATTTGTGCAGTGCACATCTGCCCACTGTTCGTGGCAGCCCAGTGCACAAGGATGTTCAGCTTTTTGTATTTGAGAATATTCTTCCACTGTTGAAAGAAACAAAACAAAAACCTAACATTCTTTTAAATCATCACAAATTGGTCTGAGGTAATCCAAACCTAGAGTCAGGATTTGTAATATAGACCAGATCATCATCTAAGTAGAGACTTCAGGATCAGGAATTAAGAATCTCTTAAATGTGGTCCATCTTCCTGAGATTTTCAACTACTAAAGGGGACAGTATTAGTTTTTCATGATTCTTTTCTGTAGCAGTAATTAAAGCTTAACTCCACTCCAAAGGTATGGAATATAATTTATGTTACCAGAAGTTTTTAGATTTGCTTTGTCTTGACTAAACAGAGCTTGGTCTTAAGAAAAGTGTTTTAGTTTTTAATACTGTAAACCAATGAGGAAAGATTCAACAATAAAAAATGAATAAGGATTAGCAAGTATTAATATAAATGGCAGAGGAACCAGAGATCAAATTACCAACATCTGTTGGATCATCGAAAAAGCAAGAGAGTTCCAGAAAAACATCTACTTCTGCTTTATTGACTACACCAAAGCCTTTGTGTGGATCACAACAAACTGGGAAATTCTTAAAAGAGATGGGAATACCAGACCACCGAAACTGCCTCCTGAGAACTCTGTATGCAGGTTAAGAAGCAACAGTTAGAACTGGACATGGAACAACAGACTGATTCCAAATTGGGAAAGGAGTACGTCAAAGCTGTATATTGTCACCCTGCTTAAACATATATGCGGAGTACATCATGAGAAATGCCAGGCTGAATGAAGCACAAACGAGAGTCAACATTGCTGGGAGAAATATCAATAATCTCAGATATGCAGATAACGTCACCCTTAAAGAAAGTAAAGAACTAAAGAGCCTCTTGATGAAAGTAGAAGAGTGAAAAAGTTGGCTTAAAACTCAACATTCAGACAACTAAGATCATGGCATCCAGGCCCATCACTTCATGGCAAATAGATGGGGAAACAATGGAAACAGTGGCAGGCTTTATTTTGGGGGGCTCCAAAATCACTGCAGATGGTGACTGCAGCCATGAAATTAAAAGACGCTTGCTCCTTGGAAGAAAATCTGTGACCAACCTAGACAGCATATTAAAAGGTAGACATTACTTTGCCAGCAAAGGTCCATTTAGTGAAAGGAATG